ATTAAACGATGTTCGATTTGAGAAATTCTGACATATCATGTCAGAGCATATTAAAATATTCGATTTTCTTTCTTTTTCGTTTGATTTGATTTCAATGATTAATCAGTGAATACGAACAAAATATTCCGAGCGGTGACAGATGAATCTATTTTTAATGATGGCTTATATAATTTTATATTTTTAGTATTATTAATTTCTTCTTAACTTTAGATAGGTAATTGAAAACAATTAGAATTATTTGAGGATAAATAGTTATGTTTTTGGAAAAAAAGGATGGTTTCCCATAAAAAGCTGCACCCGAGTTGGATCTCGAAATTAAGATCGGTTTTTAGTTGGGCCAATATTTATCTTAGGTACTGCACTAGTCGAGTCCCCGATTAGTTTAACTAGCTTACTAGTTGGACTATTTGAAGGTTAAAATATGTCTATCATTGAACGACAGTCAGCAACGATCGGTAGAAAAGGTTGGATTATTTTTACGCAAAACAAAGTTGGCTACATACCTATACCTACTACATTTCGATGCATGCATAAACGGAGCTCTTCTTCCAAATGATATGATACCGTRCAGGACAGCAGTCGTTAACCGGTGGTCCGCAGAAAAATTTGAACGTTATTTGCAATATACCTAATTTTATTCAGCAAACGCATGTCGTATATAATCACTACATGACAAAATTTTGTATTATGTTGCTGATCGTATATTCAATTTGGTAAACAGAAAATAAGAATAAACGCACTTATTAATAATGCAATCATCATCATTATCACATGTCATAAAAATATAAAATATTTTTTTATTAATTTGGTATAAGACTTATCAGTGGAACGGTATTAATGTAAAAATGTATTATATAAGCTTTAAGTGGTCCGTAGAATTTAGAGTATGGATTTAGTGGTCCGTGAGGTCCAAAAGGYTGGCGACCGGTGGTGTAGAACTTATACCGAAAACCCATCCAACTTGTGTGGCGTAGGTACCTACTTAAAATAATCCTGGTCGGTCACATCTAATTCGGGATATAATTAAATACCTATTTGTAATTATCATAATATAAAGTAWATTATGTCAGAGACCCAAACGGAATCTGCTTSAACCAYYAAATGATAGGTGTCTATCTTGTTTAATATGTCTTCGTTCATTTTTTACTCAAAATGTGTGGTTTTTTAATTAAATATATTTTTTAAATTACAAGTAATTTATCAATTTCTACAACTCAAAGGATGCAAAATTATTCTAATATACG